GTTAGTAAATAACACAAGAAGTTAATTAGTCATCAGCAGAGTTCTACTACTTACTAGTAATTATCCCTCGTCTATAAATTAATATCACTATATATATATATATATATATATATATATAAATATAGGCGGAAGCATTAGCACCCGAAGCATTCTTCTAATAATGAGGGTCCTATTTGATTGGAATATTTTGCTTTCTCTCATCCAACTACTTTATCATACTATGAACTGCAGTAGTCTTTTCCTTATTCCAACTACATTGTAAGGTGATTTTCTTGTCTAATCTTCTGTGAGGCATGCACCATATCAGCATATTTTTGAAAATATTAGTAAAGCAAGTCCACATCCTTTCCATCATATGTATAATTTGTCATATGTAGGGAAACAATAGTTTATTTAACTATCTCAAAGAAAGTTTTATTGGCAATCTAACTTATGAAATTTTTGGCACCTGTTCATTTAAGTAATACTAAGTAAACAAGGGCATTTTTAAATCCCAGTCTTTGGTGTCGGCTTTGATTAATGTCATCTAGAGTGCTGGTAATGTTTGACACATTCCAGACATTATTTACGTATGTAAGACTTCAATATTATTATTCTTCAAAATAAAATGAGTTAACTTGTCCATGTTTTGATTGTACCTTGATCCTGTCGTGTGAATGTTTAGATTTTTTGTGAATATAGAAAGTGTATTAGGTTTGATTTCATCCTAATAAATAAAGAATAACCTTTGTAAATGAGAAATAGACACTGACTTGTCCATATTTTCAGACTTTAGGTTTTGATATTTTATACATAGGTCATAAATGTTATTAAGATTTTGATTGTTTGTTTTTGATTTTTTTGTGTTTGTGTGATTTGTCATGGTATATCTCCTTTGTCAAAATTACTTTTAAGCAAGAATCATGAACTATATTTTATCTCATTATGTGGTATGTGCTGTTACTTTAATTTTTTAGCCATTTTAAATATGTATATTGATCAAATTGACCCAATTACTTTTGCTTTGTTGCAATGACTTTTTTTCTGTTGATATGATTGGAGAAGTTCCGTTGATTGATCAAATAACTTTGTCTTTTTAACTGCTGTTGAAATAGATTCTGATATAAGTATCCAATATTTACAGTTTTAGTTTTATAGGAAAACTATTCAAAAAGAAAAGTAATATATTTTGGAATTATGATTATGTCATCAGTTTTTGTGGTTCTTATCAGTCTTAACTTCTGACTGTATAAATTATTAAATATAGGTGTTGGTATACATTAAGTACTTTAGCAAAATGGTTCTTAACTACTGGTTCATAGAAAACATCCAGTGGAAAAACAAAGAAAGAATAAAAGTGAAAGATTTGATTTTTCTGAAATTTATGATTTGGAAAGGTGTTAGGAGTATGTAAAAACTGTTGTTTCCTTAGTTTTTATTGCAAAATGAGTCTCATAAATTTCACTTTAAAACTTCTTGAAGAAGCTAGAGTGAGAAAACACTTTTACTGAACTTTAGCTTTCACTATGTATAACTATCTACATTTTGTGTACTTCGTAGCAGTTTGTCACATATTGCAGTTCAGGTGTATAGGAACTACAGACCTCTATACTCTTAAGAAAAAAGTTGTGAAATAAATTGTTATCGATTGACAGTTTGTATTTTTTGTTGTTATAGCTGATGTAATAAGCCACAATTTTTATTGGAAATATGAATTTTCTTTATTATTATTATCACAAACATCATAATGAACCATACATTTCAAAGCTTTACTATCAGTGTATATATATTAATTACTTGTTATTATTTAATATTTTTAGGTATGTCACATTTGTGGCTTATCTCCAGGATTATGAGCTGTTCTAGATTTTATTCTGTGAAGAAGTGTATGTAAGTTCCAGTTTTTATTTTGTTTTTCTTGAATTACATTGGAAGCTTTGTTCAACAGAAATGAATCAAATAAATTATCTTTATTGTACCCACAAATGTCTATAACTTTGCAGCTTGAAGCTTATAAGTTTTGATTGATATATGTATACAGTGTGTATACATAAACACACATTTTTTTATGTGTGGATTTAAAAGGTGATTTATATACCAAGTTTGGCATACATTTTTACATAATAAAGATTACAGCATATGCAAAGAATTTTGTCCCATTGATCATACAGTGCATAACAGGACATAAGATGCTTATGATTGCAAATCTGCTCAATATAAATGTGGGAGCATCCATTAGTAGTAGGAAACATCCAAGAAATATGTGTACAAGGTGTAATCAATAAAGAGTAATAGTCTTTACTTTTAGTTATAAATTGCCGTTCACAAAGAGCAACTCTATGTTGCTGATTGAAGCTTTATGATTGCTTTACAACAAGTGTTAGTTAAATGTGTAGAGATGGATTCATTCAATAAGTTTATTTGTATTTTTTAGACAGCATTATTTATTTAGTGTCTGCATAATTAAGCCAAATACAGTATAAAGTATAGATGGTTAGGAAATTTCCTATATTACGAAAGCTGTAATACACAGATGTGTACAGTATGCATACAGTGCATTATATGTCTCATTTCTTCTCACATAGAACAAATTTAATTTTTAAAGAAATTATTATTCATGTTTTCCCTATAAGCTCCAGATCCTTATTACATCAAAATCAAACAATTTTCTCATGTTTTCTTAATGGGTAAGAATTTATTATCTACATGTTAGTGGCACATCTTGTGTCTCCAAAGGTTATGTGAATCATATCATAAATTGTGAATCCTGTTAAATTTTGATGTACTGAACAGGCCATAACAAACCACCAAATACAGATACTAAATAAGTTGGTTTAGTTGTGTTTCATGCAGCTTTTTTATGTGTTATTTACATAATAAAATCTGCAAAAAAAAGTCATCCAGTTTCAATGTTCTTTCCAAATGGGTCGCTTGTCCTTTTAAACTAACTCCAACCTTGCCTATGTAGGAAAGTGTGCTACATGTTATTTGTCACATGTCACAGTTGTGGGGAAATGGGGAAAAATAAATTTTTATTTACTCATAATTAGAGGCAGTGGTGTAGGAAGGAACTGAAAAGTGAGGATGTTTGGCTAGACATGCAGGTTTTACATGAGAGATTGAAAGTATAAGGAGCTGCTAAAGGCATCTCAGTTTAGGGGGGTCTGGGGAATACCCCCAGAAAATTAATATAATAATATAATTTACTGTTACTATAAAAGTCAAATATCTAAAAATGGGGGTGTTACAGCACCCGTTCGGACACCTCTGAGTAGTACTGATCTAGTAAAGCTATAATAGTTTGTTGTAATTCTAAACTCAAAGTTTGTGCTATAATATGGTAATCCTACAAAATCTAATATCTAAAAGTGGGGTGCTACAGCACCTCCTGTTTGGACACCTCTGAGTAGTACTGATCTAGTAAAGCTGTGATAGTTTGTTGGAATTCTAAAGTCAAAGTTTGTGTTATAATATGGTAATCTTACAAAATCTTTTTACATGTTTTGTAGCTTGATGTACACACAAGAAATTGTCTTAATAATTTTAAAAGTAAGTGCTAGTAGCATTATCTGTCAAAAATGGTAAGTGAAATACAGTACCTACTCATTTAGTAAGAAAAGAAACAATGTTTTTAAAAAAATGTCACTTGCATTACCTGTGTACATAGGGTTAAACTGAAAATGCAACAGCCTTGATTGAGCATATAAACTTTAACTTGGAGTAAAGGTTGTGAATGTAGAGTGGGTTGTATTTTTCAAACCATTTTTTTTAAATACAATATGTTAGATTGATTCATTGCTCGTGCAGATACAGCTTAATCATGAAGAAAGCTTTGTTATATTACATATAGTTTTGTTTACCTTTATCTGAGGTTCACAGTGACTCACTCTATATATGAAGAATACATATATATAAAACTAATGAATGATACAGATATAATGCACTAGACACATGTATTTTACTGACACCAAAAAACTGTAATCAAATTATTTTGAATTCTTCATTTAAAAAAAGATTAAAACCCTATCAATAATATATAATAATGATCGTAATTTGTATTTGATGCATTCAGTATGCTATTTTGTCATAATTGTTTTATTTGTATACTTGTAACTTTGTAACATGCAGTATTTTCTTAATTCATTAAGCAGTTTTACATAGGATGCAGCTATTATGGATACAATACCCAGACTGTTAATTTAGCAGCATAGTAGTAAATGAAAAAACTACTTGTTGATACTACAGTATTTTGAGTTATGTTTTCAGATTACCTTTATGTGTTTAAAAACTTGCATGTATCTTTTTATGTTTGTTCCAGAATTAAATGCTAACCTTAAATTTTGTTGCACATCTTGAACCACATATAAAAATACTTATTACTCCACTGACTAGAGCACCTGGTTAAGAATTATTTCCTGAAAACAACCCTCAAATGCTTTCCACTGAATAACTACTGTAAGCCCAAATTACATTCAAGCAATAAATTCACCTGCTGTGTGAAGTGTGCTCTTGTGATAATATTGGATTCTTCATTAAAACAACCCTCAAATGCTTTCCACTGAATAACTACTGTAAGCCCAAATTACATTCAAGCAATAAATTCACCTGCTGTGTGAAGTGTGCTCTTGTGATAATATTGGATTCTTCATTAAAACAACCGACAATTGCTTTCCATTAGTGAATAATAGTATTCTTATAACATACTGACAATGTAAATTTTAAAAGATTGAAAGTTTTAAAGGTATTATCACCCTTGTTTTACTGTTCTATGTTTTGTTCATGTGCTCATTTCATGGACTTATTTTGTAGTATTTTCATATTTGTACAGTTGTTCTGTAAATTTATGAGAAACTTTTTCAGGACTTGTATAATAGCAGTATTTAATTCCATACATCCGTGTGTATTGTTTAAAACTTTTTAAGTGTTGAATATTTATCTTGGTAAAAAAATTATATCAATTTAATTTTTATTACAGGTTACAGCTTCTATGGTAAGGAAGAATGTTGTTTAAAACAGGTATGGTGCTTTGATCACTGGTGCAATCATTCTTAAGTACGCAGTTTTTAACAGTAAAAAAGGTTTTCTTTCTCGTTAAAACTTATGTACTTAAGAATGATCACATCAGCGATTGAAATGTCATACCTGTTTTAAAGAATGTTCTTCCTTAGTGTAAAAACTGTAACTTGTAATACAAAATGCTTATAATTGGTAAGTAAACTCAAAATGAAACTATTAATTTGGTATTTACTCTTTCACTACTTCATGTCAAGTTATATGTTTCTTTGGAACTTAGAATTCGTATCTAAGTAATTAGAAATGTAACAAATGAAATGTTTAACAACAAAACAAATACATAGCACTATAGTAATGATAAATACAAAAAATGGGAAACTGAACTATTATTGGAACAGTGATGCTACACTATAAGCCTAAGTCAGAATGCTTTATAATTTTGTGTGTAGAACAACCTCACGTACTATTGATCCTTGTTGTTGATCAGAAATTGTATTTATGGGATTATCAAAGAGATCAATTTAGATCCTAACAAGTTTGTGATTATTAGTTAATCATGACTGCCATTAATAACCCATGCTTGCAACATAAGACCAATCCTATGAGAGTTTCGTTATGAATATTATTTATAACACCAACAATAACCATACTAAACTTTAAAGTTTGAATGTTATGCTTTGTTCAATAGAAATTACACAGCTAATTGGTAGCTGCTTTGATCAAAGCCTATGACCAAGTATTCGATAGCCTTTATTAAAAAAGGTATGGACTGTAGATATATATGCCCAGTAAAATGGATGCAGTGGTAAAAATTCCCACATGCAAAGTGTTTTTATTGTGCTTGTGGGTGGAACATTTAGATATGGTCAAAATTTGTGTTTTTAACCACAACTAATGAGATAGTGTTGTTGTTTTTGCACACTACATGATTCATGAAAGGACTAACTAAAAATAACAAATGTATATTTATATTTTTATAAGAGCCATTCAGGTTGTTTTCGTTTTAAAATTTTGTTACATCATTTCTTGTTCATAAAATAAACAAAGAATTGTTAGACAACTGCCATTTTACAAAACCATGTGTGCTTGAAAGGTAATTATATGTATCATGATTCAAAAATTCTTTTCAAGTAAAATGTAAGTAAATATCTTGATTTTACTTTTATTGAAAGTTCAAAGATAATGCAGGTAAACTTACTATATTGTTGTTCAGTTTGATAGGATAAAAGTTAACATTTACATATAGTATTGGGGGACACATGCATTTTTTACAAACTAGGTAGTTGGCAAACTTTTACCTTTTTAAGTATTTTTTCTGTGTTCTTGATTGAAATATTTTAATGTTGTCATTGCCATTAGCCTTAAAAATACTTTAATATTTTACAGGTTTCTGCATTCTCTCAGAATTCCCTCTTTGGTTCCTTGTGAAGGCCATTGGTATTCTTTGATTTATCTATCAGCAAAAAATGTGAAGTCCTTTTGTTTCAAACAGTTACTTACTACTGTAAATAAATTACCAACCAAGAAATTTAGAAAGCTGGTAACTTCACCACTACTAAACTATGGCAGTATTTTCTTTACTGGAGCAGTTTTAGTTCATAGCAGGAAAAATATTACTTACGTCTATTGTGAATCTCTACAAAAGCCAAAACGTAGACAAGGGAAACAGAAGTATAATGAAATGTTTGACCAGAAGGAATCAGAGCCACAATTTGATTGGCAAATGTTTTTTCATTTCTTAAAACCAGAGATGTGGTTCATTATTGTAGCAGTTGTGGTAAGCAATTAATTAGCATAAATTAAATTTTTTAATAGCTTGTTTGTTGTTTTTAATTTGAAGGCATAAATTAAGGAACAGTCTGTAAGTGTGTTAAAGCTGTACCATGCACATCCAGTTAGGGGGAAAAAAAAAGAGGAATATTAGGAAAATATTTCTAATTTCTTGTTTAGTCATTGAGATAGTTGGTCTTTCTAGTTTAATTTTAAATTTCTTACACCATTAACCTTAAATTAGTTAGCATGTAAGCAGGAGTTGCATTCTATTTTTCAAAAAATGGGTGCTTTGGTTCTTCTTGAAAAAAAAAAGTATAAAATGTGAGATGTAAGTACATAATATTTATGTTAAATTATGTTTTGGTGTTTTATAAAAAACTAAACATATTTATATTGTGTTTTTTTTATTCAAATGCTTCATACCTCCAAACCACAAGATTGTAAAATACAAATAATTTGCTACTATAATTGAAAAACTAGAAGGTCAGGAATTAATATTACAAGTTACCAACTTGCAATTTTTCCTAAAGTTACTCATTTAAACATTAAAGTTGAAAAAAGTAAAAATACGCTGTTGCTGATTAACTTGTGAGCATTAACTATGCATCTACTGGAGTTAAAAAACTTTTTGATTAAGTAAAATGATGATTAAATTGATTAGTATCAGAAAAATGATCAAATAAATGAAATTAGTGTTTCTGATTACTATTGTTTTTGACTAATCAAGTAATTGTTATATTGCTATTATGATTTCATTATTATTTTCAATTATTCCATGGGTTTTCAACTTAATCAATTAGTTTCATGACTCATGAAAATTAACATCCATTCAGCATTTTGTTGATTCAAAATATAATATTTGGCTCGCATCATACTGGAATGTTAGTGCATACAAAACTGAATAATTTTTACCTATGATAATTTTATTCTACTCAACCTGTAACAAGTAAAATGGCATGTGTTATTCAGTTTACTGTCCCTTTGTACGATGAAGAGTATCCATGTGCTTTGTTGCCTAGATGTAGTTGTGTATGTTCTGCTCACCATCAGTTCTTGATCACCTCAATATAGTTGCATTTGTATAAATTTATCATCTGAACTGAGCATATGTAACATATGTAGAATTCTACACGGACTTTTCTCTACATTAAAATACTTTTATTTGTGAGCTTTCAGCCCTTTTACTGTAGCCTTTATTGGGCAACTGTGAAGGTTCTGGTGAGAGAGCTGAAAGCTTGCAAATAAAAGAAATAAAAACTTTAATGTCAAGAAGAGTTCATGTGTATTATTCTACATGTTAACTTACCTACATTACGAGTCTTAAAAGACCATATATAACTTATGTTAACTTGTGCCCAATATTATTGCCACTAGTTACTGTCAGTATCTTTCTGACTTATAATAATGTAACAAAGTAATGTTTATTTTTATAAAAAAAAATTCAATAGTTTTATTATAGTAGCTTTATGAAAAGTTTTGGGGAGAAACTCGCATAACACTATTAATTGTATTTTCAGGTTGCCACAGATTTCATACTATGTTGTGTATACAATACATTTTAATATACAACATTTTACAAAATTAACTTAATCCTAAATTGTTGTTCCTGAAAATGTCTGTCAGGTTAAATGTAGTTATTTGAAAATATCTTTAAAAATAACAAACAAACAGAAAATAGGAAGATTAGTTGAATATAACTGATTAATGAGCTTGATAATTAATTGGTTAGCAAATTCCAATACTCACCCAGCCCTTGCTATTACTAGGTGTTTAGTAATGTGTAATATTAAAGCAGCTGTCATTTAGGTGTTTGCTAATTTATATAATGTTCATCACACAGGTGTTTGAGTAATGTATAATGTTAATACTGCTGTCATTTAGAAGTTTTATTACTTAATAATGTTAAAAAGACTATTACATAGGTATTTTGCTGATGATTGTATTGTTATTTTCAAGAAAATACAAGCAATACAGTTCTTTCTGTGGCAACACATTAAAATTTGCTCTTTAGTCTAACACCATTTACTATTGCTTGTAACAACTACTCTGCTAGAATCATGTATAAAATACCTTTGGAGATTTTTTTATTTATTTTTAGTTGGATAATTATGGTTGCAAAATATATACAGTGAATTTCTCAAGTATTTATGAGTATTAAACTTTGAAAAGTAAAAAAGTATGTATATGATAACTTAGTAACCTTATATCAAAATTATGTATTTTCCCCTTGCAGCTCAATAACTTCATATATTTGCTGATATATATTGCATTTAAATTTACCATCTATGTGTTCCAGAAGCCAAACAGTTTTAAGAATAAATTCAACAGTTTACAAATTGAGGAAAATATGATACACTAATAACTGTTTGTTAAGACTGGCTACAGATTTGCAATTAACGGACACATAGAAGTTTTTGTGCTCTGCAGTTTAATATTTCAGCTGTTTTACATTAGCTAAGTTGTACTATAAGAAATTAGTCTGGTTCATTTATAATAATTTATAAAATTTATCAAAAAATGTTTACGCATGCCACAAGCCTTTTATCACCCCTCACTTGGAATTGACTGATTCCAATGCGTCTCTCATTGTGGAACTTATTATTTTATTACATAAACTTTTTCTTTGTTTCTGTCAACACAGATGTGTTTAGTTATTCATTTTGCATTATGTATTCTCCATTCCTACTTTGGAGATTCTATGTTTTATTAGCACATTTACACAGGCTTCAGGTTGTAGTACTCCGAGGGAAGATTTTTGGGTTTACTTTGTCGGGAGATTGATTGTCTAATGAACTTACTTTCATCTGGGCTCACCTCCAGTTTCAGGGCATATAGATTTGAAATACAGCCAGCAGACTTTGGAAAGATAAGACATTCTGCTGTTATGGTTTTTGAATAATTTCATTGTTAATATTATTATCTGTAGTTACTTGGGTTCTATAACATAAGTTTCATAAGGTTAGCAGTTAGTCTTAGTGGTATTTTCTCACATACCATTTACTCAGGCTTACCATGATCTTTGTTATTTTAGGATTACCTGTAGTTCATTTTACTAGTATATCATTCATTAGTTTACCTATATTGTTTTTCTTCCATACGTCATGTCTCATACAAATGTTATTGTTGCTACACGCTTCCTTACTTTTATATAATCACATCTATTTCATTTATGTTATTATATATCTTTTATCCTTCTTATTCACTTGATTTGACCTTGAGCTGGGGTCCACACAAACTTCTCCCAATATTGTAAATACTTATTGTTTGATTAGTTTTATTTTAGCGGTCAGTGATGTCCTTTGTTCTGTACTGTTTGATTAGGCTTAGTGTTTGTTATTTTCGGTTTACCTGTAGTTTTACTTCCAGGTTAATTGGTAATTAGGTTAAATATCTTGTTTGATTAGGTTTAATAAATGTCTGTTATTTTCAGTTCACCCATGGTTTTATTTACAGTTAATCTATAATTAGATTAAATATCTTTTCTTCAACACAACATCACATACATGTTTAATTCACAACACAATTTCTTACCATTTCCACTGTATCGACTATTTCATTTTCGTGTTTCTATATAGTTTATACTTCTTCCAATTACTTTTGTTTAATTTATAATTTATACTTCATACAGTTACTTTCGCTTAATTTATAATTTATACTTCCTACAACTACTTTTTTTAATTTATAATTTATATTTCTTAACATTAATTTCATTTGTGAGGGTTCTGGGATCCATCATACCTGCTTCCACTATTGCTCGCCTTCCTTCTATAACAGTTGAACCCATTTTCAAACGACCTAGTTTTGTCAGTTTTCCTCAACCTTATCGTCAGTGTCTTCTAGGCTCTGCAGAATCTGCTTAGCCTATCTCTTTTTTTTTTTTAAGCATGTTTCACAGTATATCATGACATTTGTTCATGATGCTCTTTTTGTCTCTTTTGTAAGTGGGTACTTGCAAGCCTCGCCCTATACAGGCTTTAATCTTTTTTGCTTTAGATTACCATCAGGCAGATTTTCTTCCTGATTTTATGTCATTTGTTTTACTGTATCGACTCTCCCACAGTTAATGTTTACCCTCCACCTCCTTTCTTTTGTGTTCCACTTACATTTAGGGATTTTTATGGGATACCTTCCATATTGGTGTGTTTGCCATCTTCAGTTCATTCCCTCCACATGTGGCATCTTTACTTTTGGAATCTTATAGGGTGAGCCATTGCTGTTTGTTTACCATCCACTACTATTAGGGACTTACAATCCGTTATTTTTCTTCACCAGTCCGTATTTTTGGGAGGGGGCTGCTCCTGTACATTTAGCATCACAAGGAGTATCTGCAATGCTGTATTAAATTTTTTAACTGCTCTTTTTTGTTTCATTCTGAGATATTATCATGTTTATTCATTTATCTATTTGGCAACTTCCCATCCTTTACCTGTCTTACCTGTAGGTTTTATTCTTTTGTCTTGTTTGCTTGATGCTGATTGGAGTTCTGGATTTATCGGTACCACCTTAATCACTATTTGGGTCCAGTCTTCCCTGTTTTGTTATGTAATCTTTGATCACATTTGGGTAGGCTGTTTCTGCATGGCTGAGAATGCCCACAATACACATTCTTATCTTCTGGTTGTTTTTTTTTCACCATTTGATTTGGTACCAGTTTTGTGCCTTGCCCTTTGGATTGTTTCGGTTCCATATATTTTTGTTAGGTGGTCTGCATTTTAACTGACTTCCACATTTTGGGGATTTTATCAACACCATTCTTGCTTCAGTTAGCTCCTTTCAAAATGGGAACATCTTCACATGCTCATCTACCCTTTCCACAGTTGAATAAGTTTTCTTGTTACATACCTAAACTTATAATATTTTTGTTGTGTATTTTTTAAACACCCCTCCATTGGGTTCATCCATTCTCCTCCTCGATTGCATTCGACGGTGATTTCTGTTATCCGAGCTTCTACTTTTGCTTTTCCTCTATATGCATTGATAGCTGAACATATCCCCCATGTTGTTGGGTTTACTGCTTCCTTCCCCTATTCTGGATTGTTTCTCTTCCTTCATGCTCATATTCAAAGGTGGGGGCTGTGATTCTATCAGTAGGAGGTTTCAGGATAATGGTCTACAGTCAAAACGTCTCATCCCCTTCCCACCCGAGCACTTCTGCCAGTCTAAGGTGCTTTAGTTCACACTCTTCCTCTTTTCTGGTTTGACTAATCCTGTTTCATTTTGATTTTTTGATGATAATGACTTATATCACTCACTAAGAAAACACTCCTTTTTGTTCCTTTTCAGGTAAACAGTGGATTTCATTTTTTTGAACCCACATACTTGACATAAGTCTGTTGGAGAGTTGTGTTCCAGGTGCTTTGTCCTTGTTGCTAATTGACTTTCCAGTCCTGACACATTTTCTCCCAAGGAGCGACCTCTCAATCCTCCTACTTTTTGGTGGCTCTGCCTACTGTGGGGTACTCCTCCACGTGAAGTTTTTGTATTCACATGTACCCCATTCTTGAGTCAGGGGTACTAGATTCCCTTCAGTCTCATGAACTTAAGGTGAAGATGATATGATCCTCTTTCCTACCCCCACACAGATGTCTGTTCTTGGTGGCCTGGGTTTTGGATTGTAGTCGACTTGCTGGTGGTATGATGCTCTTTCCTACCCCCACCATGATGTCGCTACCCACTGGCTGGGTTTTTGGATGTAGTTGACACTCCATGTACATTCCATCATGCTCTAGTAACTCTACACCTAGGACACATCCTTTTTATTTTACCCACTTTTATATTTTCCGGGATAGAGTTTCATCAATATCATATTGTTTGGATCATTATCCAACCTTAGTTCTCTCCCACTTGGAGGTACTCCTCTGTTTTTCTGCCCAGATGTGCAACATCTTTCTATGATAGGTGAAGAATATACCTGGTTAAGAATTGGTGTGGTCCCCCACATCAGATCTTTTGAAGGATGCTTCTTTCTTTCCCTCCATCTATTCAGTGTGGGATTCTATTCTAGCTATTTATGTGAATGGAGGTAATGTACCGTATCGGAAGATATAATTTTCCTATACTGAAAATGTATTTTTGATAGGTACTTACTTCTATTCACACTGCTGCTAAAATTTGAAGTGATAGTTTGATAGAATTGAATAGAAGGAGTCACATGCATCATAAGAGTATGTCACACTCTTATTGGTGGAGGATTGTTGCATGATGATTTCCATGAGAGATGCATTGGAATCAGTCAATTCCAAATGAGGGGTCATAAAGGGCTTGTGGCATGTGTAAAAATTGTTTTTGTATATAGAGGACAGCACTGAATGAGAATAGCTATTTATGTGAGAGGAGGTAAGTATGGGACAATTATAACTTCTGTTTCCTCTCTAGATTTGTCGATTAGCTTAATGTCATTGAGAAAAGAGCTGTAAGTCATAGATAACTCATAACTCAAAAAGAAAAATAGTTTGATGGTTACTGTACTTGTTCATTTTCAATACTATATTGAAACATTTTCAATACTATATTGAAACATTTGAAATACTATATTGAAACATTTGAAATACTATATTGCATTTCTTTTAGTCACTGATTAATTTGATAATATGAGGACTCATTTTATACTACAGTTTTTTAGCTTTGTCATTTTTTCCATACTTATAATTATTGGAAATGAACTGCATAACCTGTCTATTGAAAAACACAAAGTTCTTATTAGTGTACAAAGAATAAAGATTTGCTTATAATGAAGTTAGGTAAAGAACGTGCTATAGTTTATTTAATAAGGATTGATTACATTACTAAAGTAATATAGCAGGTGTTGAGAATGAATTTGTTAAATTAGGTAAGATGCAATTAAATTAGAGATACAGCATCTTTTACACTTGAAGAAAGGTAATAGTACTGTATTGCAAATGGGGGGGGGGGTACTAATTATAGTATTTTTGCAGTTCCAGTTTCTATTTTCCACATGTGATTTGTTGATTTCAATGCTAATAAGTGTGTTTCTATGTGTGTTTGTTTTTCTTCTTTTTTTCCAAATCAAAATTCTGTAATAAAAGTGTATTATATGTTGGATTACTATTGCTGTCACGCAAGGTAAGCTTTATAAAAATACTGGGGGGGGGGGGTAATTAGGGGCAATACGATATCTAAGAAAATATGTTCAAGAAAATCTGACCATTTGGTTCCCATTCAAAGATTTTCCATAACTTATCTAAAGTCCATAAAACCAGTTTTTGTGCAAGATTATTATTTAAAAAACTGTCATTTCAAACCACAATTTGAATTTGTAGTTAGATTTTTAAAAAGTGTATGACTAATAAATTAATAGTTAAAGGTAGTTTAAGTGCTCTCAATCAATATATATATATATATATATGACACACACACACACAGAACTTAGAGCTTCATAATGATGGTTATATTGGTGGGTGCATGTAAAAACTGTGCAGGAAACTTACTTTATATACTGATTTGAGTTGTACTTTATCAGAAAAAGCTAATGGCTTATCTGATCAGCCCGGCATGGCCAGGTGGTTAAGCCCTTCGACTAGCAATTTGCGGGTCCCGGGTTCAAATCCCCATCACACCAAACATGCTTGCCCTTTCAGTCATGGGTGTTGGTAAAAGAGTAGCCCAAGAATTGGTGGTGGGTGATGATGACTAGCTGCCTTCCCTCTAGTCTTACACTGCTAAAATAGGGACGGCTAGCACAGATAACCCTCGTGTACCTTTGCACGAAATTAAAAAAAAACCAAACCAAACTTATCTAATTCTTATTTGGCTGTTAAAATGTCTTTTCTTGTATTTTGTTAAAGTATTTATGAACAGATAAGTGTGTTCAATTGCGGTTTAAAGTTGCACCAGCTTGGGGTATTTATAATTTTTGAACTATCGACTGTTAAAATGTCATAGAACTTTGAAACTTTATTGTTATATTTAAATACTTAATGACATAATGAGCAAAATGGTTTTAAAGTGTATGACAAACCAACATTTTCTGGATTATTATACATAGTTTGAAAATATGATTTGTGACTTTTAAATTAATCTGTATAAACTTTTGCTTAATCATGAGTATATAACTGTGAGTAGCTTTATTGTGTGAGGAACCAATCTAGCATTATGTATTTCTTTCAGATTCAAATAATGAACTATTGCATTAGTATATATTGCTTGTTATAATTTTGTCATAAATGAATTGCATAATACATATTAAAAGCTTACTGTTTACATTATATGTTACTGTTAAGATAATATGTTTGCTGTCTCAAGGAATCCAGTAGTTGTGGTTTTTTATCTTACACTGGTAAACATTTTGTTTATTAAGAAAACTGCAATTAAATAAAAGAAAAAATGCTACAGCAACACATACTTGAACAAACAAATTAAGCTAAAATCATTGGTTCTTACAAATGCATGAAAATATGTTTTCTTTCTTTTAGAGTGCCTTTGTTGTAGCCTTGTTGAACACCAAGATTCCTTCCTTACTAGGTGATGTTATAAATGTTGTATCCAGGTTTACAAGGAATGGTGGTTCCCTTGATGATAAAACAGATTTTTTACAAACAGTCAAAGGACCTGCTGTACATTTAGTTTATTTATATTTAGTCCAGGTAAGTAAATAAGGGTGGACTAGAAACTATATCAATTTTATTTCTCCAATAGAACAGAGGCTGCAACTTTACATTAGTTTGAGAAAAGGGTTGACAAACACTTGGAGATCAGGCTTGATGTCCTATAATTTATATTTATGTATTTTTGTTTTTATTATAGATAATGAATTTAAATCAGATTTTGACTGTTGTAATATTAAAAACCCGAAGAGTTGTTCTGAGATGGTTTCAGATGTTTGATTAGTAGAGTCTCTTTAGTCATAGCTATATATTTTTTACCCTTATTTTAAGTGAAAATGATACACAATTTTCCAAGACAATAACCAACCTTCTCACACAGAAATATTATTTTTCCCGCATGTCTGCATATGATAGTTGCATGTCACTAGCCTTGAGCTAACTCCCACCTAAATTCATGTGTTTAAAGTGAACTGCACTTTTGAATGATGATGTCATCATATGACAATAGCCCTCCACCAGTAGGAGGGTGACACAGCCTCCATGTGCCATAACTCCCTCTATGCACTTGCACTTGTGATAATTTCAGTCTTTTCCTCAGCATTACATTGAACAGATGTGTTCAAATTTCTCATCTAAGTTCAATTTGATGAGATTTGCAGTTGTTAATGGAACTTTCGTTTTTGTTTTAAAAGTATTGATTATTATCTTGAATTCTGAAATGACAGTGACTTCTACTTATTCCCATGTGACTGATGATGTTACATGCACATATAAAGCCTTTTCTACTATGGCTTATAAAGGCTCGTTGACTGTTGGGGATGTTGCAGCCTTTGTTTAACATGTTGTGATTACCACATGTTTATTAGGCCTCTTACTCCCATCCCTTCAGCCAAATTCCTTTCTTCTCAATCATGGATGGTCTGTTGGACTATGAATTTAACCTGCTTTGCTTTGGGTAGTGCCTTACCATTAGGGGAATGATCTTAACCTTCCAGTCTCAGATATGTTCATTTCCTTATTTTCACCTGTGTCCTTTAATATTGCCCATTCTTCACTCCATGAACCCCGTTCTCCCTTGCTTCTTATTAGGGTTTATGCTGTTTACTTTCTCTAACAGCTCCTCACTCACACTCAAATGTCTCATTCCCCTTGTGTTGTATGAATTCAGTCCTCATTTAGTTCTGATTTGCAGACATTCTTCCTTTGCTATCTATATTCTCTGTCTTAGGTATATAATTGGCCAACTTGGGGATTGGGCTCCTTGCCTTCAATTTTGCTTTATAGTTCCCAGTTTTTGCATATTTGTCATTTACTCATCACCCTCTTGTAGTCTTTTATCTGAGACACTGTATTGTGCTTTAGAGGGGTTTATGTAGAGGTTCATTCCCTTTTCTTTGTCAGCTTAATCTGTTCCACTTCTGCTCTGTCCATCATTACTTAGTTCTCCTGATGTTGAGACTCGTTGGGTCGAGTTGCATTCCTCTTTACTGTACATCTTCCTCCTTTATGTGTATATGGTGTTCATCAGGCACCCTTTCTTTGCTTGGACATCTTTAGTGATGTTTACTTCTCACTGGAGACTTGGACTGAAGTTACATGACTTCAGTCCCCATTATCTTCAAAGATTTTTCTCCTTTCTTGACCTTGTCCTTTGACCCCTTTTTCTCATATGGATTAGTCTACTCATTCCAGGTTCCAGATCTCCCCTTTTTTTCTCATCCCCCCCACTACCCAACATCTGTTTCATTACTCCTCTTATCAATGACAGTCCTGTCACATCATGCCCTAAGGGTACCCATCTCTTCCTCTTTGCCAGAAGTTGGTCTCAGTTTCTGCTGACATATTTTCATTTTCTCTACAGTGGTTTTTCTCCTCAGTTCTCTTCACTCTTTTCTCCATTTTCTTTTCTACTCTCTCCGACCATAGCCATGGTAAATGTGTCGGACACTTTCCTATACATCTCTATTGCCCTGTTCTCCAGATGTATTCATTTGTATCATGAGGGGCCCTCACTCACTATCTTCATGGCCTGTGGCTTTCATTCCTTTTCTTGAACAATTGGCTTCTATTGGCCCATTCTTGGTTGGTATCCTCCTATAGCCCCATCCTCATGATGTTACCTTTGATTTGTTCATCAGAATCAGGTGTACCACTTTTGAGTTCACCCTTTCAGCATAGCTTCAGCTCCTAATGTCTTCAACTGAGTCATGGGACATTAGCTCACTACTTCCACAATCTTAGACTTCAGTTCCATTTTTATATGGATGATTGGCTCCTCGTTTCATATTGTGAGGCCTCCTCATTGGCCACATTATATCTTCTTCAAACTGTAGCTCATCTAACTTGGCTGGTCAAATTTTCAAAGTCATTCCTGACTTCAACTCGGTACTTAGTATGCTTTGAAGACTTTTTCCAGTTCTTACCTTTGTTGGATTTAGCCTCCCTCCTTTCATCTGCAAGACATAGAACATCTAGTCACCTCAGTTCTTACCTCTCCTATACTTTCTGTGTGGGAGATTTTATCTCCTATGGGAACTCCTGCATCTATAGAACAGTTGTCCTGCAAGGCCAGCTCACATGAAACTTCTTCAATGGACAGTGTATGAGCTCTTAAGATCCTCTATAATCTTTTGTGAGTCTGCCACCTTCTCTTCTCAATATTCTGTCTCTGTGGCTGGATCATGTGAACACTATGGTTGGCAACCCACTATCACTCCCTCATCTGGTTCTACACCTCCTTACTGATGCTTCTCTTTCAGGTTGTGGGTGTGTCACTGTGTGACTCCACAGTTTTGGAGGTTTAGTCTCCTATGGAGTGTACCTTCCATATAAATATCGTGGTACTCTTGATAGTACACCAGGCATATTCCTGCCTCCTTCCTTGTCTTGTGGATCACTTGGTTATGATCCACTCTGACAATTTTACAATCGTATCCCATATCAATTGCCAAGGTGATTCTTGCTCTTGGGATCTTTGTTTCTACACATTAGACTTACTGTTTTGGGACCACTCACATTGGGTTCATCTGACAGCCTGTCAGGTTCTGGGAGTTTTGAACTTATTGATGGATCAACATTCTCTCTGGACAGGATTCTTCTTATTGAATGTTCACTCCATCCTCAGGTGTTTCATTGGATTTATACCTAGTTGAGCATGTCAATGATCAATGTCTTTGCCACTCTTCTCAGTACCAAACTTCCCCTCTTCTGGTCCTCAATACCTCAACCAGCTGTTCTGGTTGTGAATCCCTTAACCATGATTGATCTAATTTATTTCTTTATGCATATCTCCTCTCTTCGTCTTCTCCCATGCATCTTGGCATTGATTCACAACACTCCTGGCCAGGTGCTGTTGGTAGCATCTTTTAGGCTGGCTCAGGCTTGGTTCTCTCTTCTCCACCAACTGGCATCCACACCTCTTCCTGTACCTTTGTTTCTGTCCTTCTTGCTCAAACATTGCACTTCTCTGTTATCCACGAGTGTGATCCCTTCATCTTCACACATGGGATTTATCGGGCCCCTTGCTCACAGGTCTCTCAGATTGTATAATTCATCTATTCCATTTGTGTCATCCTTCCACACTCTGTCTACCAATACAAGTTGCAGTTTTTTGCTACTTGACCATCCATCCCTCTCTGCCACCAGGCTATTCTACTATTTTCCACCTCTCAGCCTTCTTTACCTGGTTGTTCAACCAAGGATTGTTGGTTTCTGTCATTGAGACTATTAAGCAGCCTTATTGTCTACTTTTGCCTTTTCTGCTATGATTCTGCCTTTTCCTCCCCTGTTCTCTCCTTCTTGTTTCAGTCCTTCTAAATTCATTCTCCCTCTCACCTAGTTTCTCTGGCCAATTGAGACCTTAATAAGGCTCTTCATGCTATTATACGTGCCCTGTTTGAATCCTTGGCTACTTACTACTTGTACATTTTCTCTCTCTTATGTATTTCTTTATCCTTCTTGCTTGTAGTCATCACAGATCTGATTTTTATGCATTGGGTACCACCCAGACATTATTTTATAGATCTTCTCCAATTTTATTTGCAAGATGTGCAGTTCAGGAGAGTTATTATATAATTTCTGTGGATATTCACCCTATATGATTGTTCTCACTCTCATTGCTGTTGTACCCAGTTCAGGTGGTCAAGGGTTACTTATCATGCACAGTTCCCTTTCAGGATTCTCTCAGTTGTTTATTCTTTCCATGGAACCCATAATTTTCCAGGAATCTTTCATCATCTACACTTACCGTGTTGCTTCATCAACTCATCTGGATCATCTATTCTTCATTGGATGAAGATGCTCACAGGCTGTGCCATGTCACTTCATATCAAATCCACCACATGACTTACTCTCTGGCCTTGCACCTTTGACTACCTTTGGACAAAATCCTACAGGCTGGAATGTGGATATTGCCTAATGCTTTCATCTCACATTATCTCCATCATCTGGATTTCGCTTCCCTTCAGTCATGATCATCCAGTCCACTCACCGTCTTTAATGGTAATGACCTTTTTTTATTTCCTTACCTGTGTGTACTAATAATCTCATGTATATACCTCAGAACCCACCTAGTGGCTGGTATTGCCTCACAGGGTGTACATAGTTTGCCAAATACACATCCAGTCAGGGGTAATGGAAAGTGTTAATCCTATCCACCCTGATTCCAGTGTGCCCATTGTTGAGATGGGATTATCTGAAAGACCACTAAGATGGTATATTTATATATCACTATCAATTCCAGACCACCAAGGTAGTGCCTGCACTTTTTCCTGGCTTGCACATGCTAACTTTTCAAAATTTCATGGTAAGCCTTTGTACCTTTTCCAGTGGTTAGGTATAACATAATCTGGGCACATCTGAGTTTCCAACACAAATCCCCCTTCCCCAATCTCTGAGTACAACATGGGAGACCCTTGCCAGCTTTGGTTCTTAGTCATTAGGGTGATTGACTTGGAGAGTTCCTTGCCAGTTTTATGATCCCTCGAGAGAGAGTCCAAGTGGACAGCACAATGCAGTGGGAAGTAGTGCAGGGGTATCCATGTTAATGTAGTGTAGGTTGGTCCTTGTTGTGTTGTATGCCAATTTCCTTGCAGTTTTCACCAGCCGGATGGGATAGAGTGTTCTCCTTGGGTGGCAGGAAGGGATCTTAGTCCCCATTCTTGTATGTAAGGTGAGTAAATTGTATGACAGAACATATACCAAATCATACAGTCTGATTATTGTCCTAGCCACACTACATCTCATGTCCATCCAACATATTGTATGCAAATGCTTGGTTGTTCTTGGATTTTTCAGCCCATCTCTGTGACACAGTGGCTCATTTTTGCTTTTCTCCTTTTATATTTCCATCTAGACAACGAGTATATCTAGCCTGAGTAATATACTTTTTTTCTTGTGTTCATCCTCTAGTAAGCCCCAATATTGGGTATCATGCTCCACTTCTGATGCCTTTTCTAAAAAGAGCTTAACAAGGTTTTTTCCTTTGCACCAACCCCTCCACATTCATGTGGATTCTAGCTATTGTGTGCAGAGAGGTGGATCATTTCAAAAGTTAATGTTTTCCTTATCTGAAAATGTATTTCCAGAAGATACTTTCCTCCCCTCTAATGTGTACATAATTCTTGCTTTGATAAATGAAGTTGACTTCAGGTGCATGTGATTATGGGGATCTACTGCATATGGAGGATGTGTTGCCCTCCTATTGGTGGAGGGTGAACAGATAGTTGAAATTCTAATTATTATTTTTTTCTGAAGATTCACTTTGTATTGTTAATAAATCTAATGTTTATGTTCATTAATCTGTCAGCAACAAAACTACAAATCATTAACCTGTGGAATAGAGTACTGTATACAATACCTTGATTTGTATTTATCTTCTACTACAGATGTAACATTTAAATATAACACATAATACTATTTGTTCTGTGGTTACTTCTGTATTTACTGTTAAAGTTAGACACAGAAAGTGAATAAACTAGTTTCTAGTAAATGTAATGTTTTATACACATGAACTAGTTTCAATTAAATGTACTTACTATGTAATGTTTTTATACACATGAAGTAGTTTCAAGTAAATGTACTTACAATGTAATGTTTTTATACACATGAACTAGTTTCAAGTAAATGCACTTATTATGTAATGTTTTTATACACATGAACTAGTTTCAAGTAAATGTACTTACAATGTAATGTTTTTATACACATGAACTAGTTTCAAGTAAATGTACTTATTATGTAATGTTTTTATACACATGAAGTAGTTTCAAGTAAATGTACTTACAATGTAATGTTTTTATACACATGAACTAGTTTCAAGTAAATGTACTTATCATGTAATGTTTTTATACACATGAACTAGTTTCAAGTAAATGTACTTACTATGTAATGTTTTTATACACATAAACTAGTTTCAAGTAAATGTACTTACTATGTAATGTTTTTATACACATGAAGTAGTTTCAAGTAAATGTACTTACAATGTAATGTTTTTATACACATGAACTAGTTTCAAGTAAATGTACTTACTATGTAATGTTTTTATACACATGAACTAGTTTCAAATGATAATTTTATGCAAAGTTTTTACAAAGTAGCCATATTTTTCTCATTTCCTTTTTCCCATCATCAACTTGTTACTGCCACTTTGTTGGCATATCAACATTTTTTTTATAGTTCTGTTCTTAGAATTATATCACAAAATGATGCTAAAATTAAAACAATAATTGAACATCTAAGTCTTCTTTAATCATTTCAGTTAAACGTGTCGGACAAGTTAAGATGTCTTTACTCAATGCTTCCATTCACCAGTAATAATATTTTGATAAAGATGGCGGATTCCATATTGCAAAATCAGCAAGATAATTATAGGAATTTTGTTTAAACAAAGTTTTCAATAAAAATACAGTTATTGACATTTTAATTTATAAGTTTTTTGTGAAGCATTACAATATGAGTGACCTGCTGTATCTTTTGTAGACTTGTAAGAAATAATTAATTTTTCTGCTTACTTTTTTATCTTTTAATAAAAGTAAACTGAAGCCTTTAAATGCTTCAAACATTGTTTTATCTATTGGATTTCTTCATTTCTTCCCAGAGTATCTTTACCTTTGTGTACATTTCCACTCTGTCCTGTGCAGGAGAGAGATTAGCCTGTCGCATTCGACAAGAATTGTTTGCTTCCATACTGAGGCAAGATGTTACATTTTTTGATGCCCACAGAACAGGAGAAATTGTTAGCAGGTAAGGTCTAAATGTAAACTTATCTACATGTGAACACACTTTTCAAGGAACAGAATTATCTTGCAACAGTTGTACATGCATCACTAACCAGGAAAATCTACTTGTTCATTTCCTTCTATGCTTTTTTTACTAGTTTTGAATGATCTAATTGCAATATATGTAGAAAGAATTACTTATGAAATAATATATAACAGAATAGTATTACTGTTTGGCCTGTCACAACTTGGTTTTGATAAAGTGTGAAAGTAAAGGATCAGCCAAGAAAATATTTTTCAACTGATTAAAGCTCAATGTACTTGTAAGGTTATTTTCAAAGGCATATAAACTGTTTCAAAGTTCATTTGTATTGAAATAAAAATAATCAAACCAACAATGTCATATTGAATGTCAAGAAGGATTCTTTTTAAATTTGCATATTTGTATGTATGTATGTACAGTATATGTGTGTATATGTAATATGCAGAGCACAGACTGAGACCTGTATTTCTAGTTTTAATATGAGATATTGTTACACTACCCTGAAGAGGTGCTCAAATGAAAAATGTTCATTGAAGTGGTTTGGAAATCATGTATTAAAATTTCTGTTAGTGTGAAAACTGTGTGTGCAGCTCTAATCCTTTTTGTTATGCTACTTTACTTATTTCCAGAGCATAATGAGAAAGATTAGATGTAGTGTACATCTATATAAGTGTATGTGTAAATGGGAAGATGAGATGTAATATAATTGGAGTGTACATCTATACAAGTGTAAGTGTAAATGGGAAGTAATATAAATAGATGAAATATAAATAGATGTAATATGAATGGAAAGATTAGATGTAGTGTACGTCTATATAAGAGTAAGTGTAAATGGGTAGTTAAGGTGTATTATAAATGGAAATATTAAATGTAGTGTACATCTGTGTAAGTAAGACTACACGTGAAGTTGAGATGTAATATGAATGGAAAGATTAGATGTAGTGTACATCTATATAAGAGTAAGTGTAAATGGGTAGTTAAGGTGTATTATAAATGGAAATATTAAATGTAGTGTACATCTGTGTAAGTAAGAGTACACGTGAAGTTGAGATGTAATATGAATGGAAAGATTAGATGTAGTGTACGTCTATATAAGAGTAAGGGTAAATGGGTAGTTATGGTGTATTATAAATGGAAATATTAAATGTAGTGTACATCTATGTAAGTAAGAGTACACAGGAAGTTGAAATGTAATATGAATGGAAAGATTAGATGTAGTGTACGTCTATATAGGTTTTATTTTAGCAGTTGTAGGATAAACTGTACCTCACAGTATTACCACACTCTACCATCCAGACAAAATTTTTGTTCATCAGTAAAACTTGAGTCAAGTCATTGAGGATGCACTGTGTACATATTAAGGAGGTTTGATCTTTTCTGACCATTCCTTAAGGTCTAGTCTTTACCATATTTAAAACTGTGACAAGTTAAAGATAATTTTATAGTTTATGTTAATGAAGTAGTGGTGTGGACATGATTGTAAATGCTAATATCTATCCTTGCATTGCCCAAGGGCAGTCCTTACTATAATGCTATGCACAAGTTCCCCAAGTTTGATAATGATATAACACAGGAAAATTAACATATTGCAACAAGTTGAAAAAGTTGTTACACAACAGTGGAAAAAAAAAAAGCCTTAAGCAATCAGATCCCTCACTTTGCTTTTAGGCCACAGTTATTGAATGTTGTAACCAAACAAAATGATTGTAGGATCAACAGCTATCTTGTTCATACACAATTCATGAAAATGTTTGAATATCATCAGCAGTTTCTTTCTTCATGATATACCTAATGAAAGGAAGAAGGGTAATAACAGTGATTCTGAATTCAAGGCATCTAACCACTGTTAATATATAATTAAAATTAACTAATTCTGAACATACATGTATATATATTTTTATATGTTGATTCATCCTCTGTGTAGAAAATATACTGATGTTAAAAGATGAAATCTACAGACTTACATTTGTATTTTAAACATCAGTTAAAGAAGAATTAGAATTTATAATACCAGAGCTAAACATCTGCTCTTTCAGTTCATTGCTATGCAAGTCAAGCAACTAATGATCAGTCATGATCTGAAATGCAAATGATTAATCATTCAGTTTATGCTGTATATGCACAGTTTTTTCTTGTTTGTTGCTTACAAGTGAAGTATTTTCAGATTTTTCATGAACCATTGTTGAACTTCAAAGAAGATACTTGGATGTTTCACTCATGTTGAGAGCCACAGAATGAGTAGAAGCTTGCAAGTCAGCAACTATTGTGAAGTGTCATAAGCGGAATGTGGAAGTGCTTCCAAACCAGTGGTGAAGTTGCTCAAACACCTGAACAAGACAGACCATCATCCACAACACGAGCATGCAACTGCTACATATATCTGTCAGTTCTGGCTCACTGGAACTATACACTCTGTCAGTATATATATATATATATATATATATATGGTTAAAAGTAGATTTTACATGGCCAGATACACAGCGAGGCACATTCCACTCAGAACTAGGAAAAAAACAGCTTGTATGCATTAGTGTAAAGAACACATCCAATGGACCAGTGCTCTTACATATGAAAACCTGGAACCAGGAATATGATGCATAGGGAGGTAATGGAGGTATAGTGTGGATAATAATAAGCTTTGACAGATACACTGAGCTATACATTTTAAAAATAGCACCATCAAAGTTACACACCCCATGGTTGTGCTACCATATTCTGGTACAGTTAGCTCTGACTAATGGATAATAAAACCAATCCTTACCATTCTAAAGTTGTTGACACACATTCCTTGAAGAAGAGGTAATTGATCAGAACATGTTGCGTACTGCCTAGTTCTTAGTCACATCAAGCATGAGTAGTGTAATCTTGGGAAACATGTTGCATCCTGCCAAATGACTCAAGATACCTAGGAATACTTGGAAATATATTTTAAGCTTGTAACATTAGTGACAGGCTACCCTTGATGTTCCTGGTGCATTGTAACCATTCTCCATATGGAAGTGGAATGTCATTTATAAAAACAGGCAAAAATGACCAATCAGTTGCATATCAAATAATGTAATGAATTATCATTTACATGAAAATTATCTGATGGGTGATTAACATCACTTTATAACTGTGGCTTTTGACTTTTCTTAACTAAAATAGTGTAAATCCAGCTATCACTGCAAATAATGCAATTGTTATGAGTGGAGAAATATATGCTGAGTACAGTTTTCACAAGTTTAATGAGGATTGGTGCTTCGAACACTTTGACAGTAAAGATTTAACTTAATTAGTTAAATTATGCACTTGCTATTTTCAGATTGTGTCATGACCTATGGCAGAAGGTACTGGTGTTTTTAATTGGACTTTGGAGGATTATATATATATATTCTGTTATTGCATATATTGTATATATATATACATACATACAATGTACACAGACACAAAACATTGTTTTGTGTGCTTATGTTCTAATATATTTTATTTACAGATTGACCATTGATGTACAAGATTTTAAAAGTTCTTTCAAAATGTGTATATCTCAGGGTTTCCGGAGCTTTACCCAGGTAAGAATTGTTATTTTGTTAAATGAAATTACTCTATGTGCAGCTTACATAACTTAATTCTGAAATGATATTTCACCTCTTCACACAGAATAGCTTAATCTTTCATGTGTTGGCCTATGCGACTTTCATGTTACTAGCCTTGAGCTGATTCCCACTTAAAAATCATGTATTTAACATAAACAGCACTAGTCTATGATGACATCAACATGCTACAATAGCCCTTCATCAATAGGAGGGCAATACAACCTCCTGGTCCAGTAACTCCACTTAAGCACTTGCACTTGAAATAACTTCATTCTTTTCCTTTGTATTGTCTTTAATAAATGTTTTTTTTATTTTTCACTGTTGTTCAGTTATGTAAGATTTTCTTTAGTGAATAGGACTCTATTTTTATTCAGGTTAACTGATTTTTTTACTTATTAGTGAAGTACAAGAGAAAGAAGCTTGTTTTTCTCTCCTGCTTACTCATTATGAATTCTCAAGTGATGGTAACTTTTATTTCATCCTGTAATGGTAATGAAGTCACTAACACATGACCTGTGTCTACAGTGGCTTCTGAAAGTCCATTCTCTGTCATTGTTCAATGGGTGGTGGGTTTCCTCAAGCACACTGGGCCTTATCCTTCTGTTTATTCAGCCGACGTTCCTTCTTCTTAGTTTGAATATGACCAAAATGATGATTTTCACTGGCTGTTTCCCCATTAGGGTTTGCTCTAGGTACTATTTTTTCTGTGAAAGAAAATCCTCAACTTTTCAATTTTCAAAGTTTTTTTTTATATGATTTCACAGTATGTTTTTTACTTTCTCCTTTGATTCCCCCATTCTTTACTTCATCCCTCCTTCCCCTGATATTAGAGTTTATGCAGTCTTGTTTCTTGAACAACTGTGTACCCATAACACATGCCTCATCCTCCTCACCTGGCTTATGGCTATTCTTCTTTACCATTTCTTGGTACCCTGTCTTAAGAATCTTTTTTACCTCTTTGAGGTGGAACCCTTAACTTCTGTTTCACTTTCTAATGCCCAGTATTCTCACCTTTACCTCTTTGTTACCACTCTCAAATCTTACCTCTCGTCCTTCCACATTATTTCTGAGGCACTTCATCGTGCTGTGGGTGGGTTTTTGGGAGAGGTTTGCTCTCTAATTTTTACAACTTTGGCCCATACTTCTATTTCTGCTCTATCCCTCCTTAGTTGGTTCAACTGCTGTTTTGGGTCAGGATGCTCTTCTGACTAATATTCACCTGCCTCACTCTTATTGTAGTGATCTTTGTTGGGCTTCTTTTCTTCACCCTGAGGTCTGACACACTGGAGACCAATACCAAGTCAGCTTGGCATAAATCCTTGTTGTCTTCTTTGGTTTCTTGTCTTTCTTAACTTCACCCTTCTTTTACAGTCCATAGATCTATTCAATCCTTGTCTTCCTTACCATTTCCAGTTTCCTGCTCTTGGTCTTCTTGCCCTACCACTTCCAGATGTTAGGGGCATCGCTCATCTTGTCAGTGAATATCCTGTTGGGTCTGGCCAAGTGGGCACCTATTTGTTTCACTTTGTCAACCTTTTGTTTTTGTTTTCAGCTAACATATGGGTTCTTCAGGTCCTCGCTCATGACATTTCTCACCATTTCTCTTCTCTTGCTCCCTCTTTCCTACTCCTGTTTCCTTTCCTCATCTCTCACATCCTGTTTATCTTCAGCATTTTGAGGATGCAGTTGTGGCTCTCTTGGCCAAGAACACATTCAATAGAGTATTTACTCCTACTCCAGGATATTACTTTCACCTCTTTGTGGTCCTCAAAAGTACTGGGGACTAATGTATCAACCTTTCATCTCTCAACTAGATTATAGTCATTCCATGGTTCCAGATATAGGGTTTCTTTTCCCTCCAGCAGTCCTTTTCACCCAGTGTGTGGATGAATGAGGTCATCATGTTGGATGCTTTTTTATCTTTTCTGATTGCCCTGTCCTCCAGAAATTTATTTTTTCCCAAAATTGAGTCTTCCAGTTACGTGCTCTTCCTTGTGGCATGGCATCTGTTTCTTACATCTCTAATCATGCAGTGAGGGCATTTTTCAGCCATATTCATAAGCTGGAGCTGAGGTTCCATTATTACATGGATGACTGGCTTCTTCTTGCCCCTTCTCCCACACCTCCATTCTTCTACAGGAGGCTGCTCATCTGGACTGATTTGTCAAGCTTTACATGTCTTTTCTGTTGCCTGCCCAATACTTGGTACATCTGGTTGTGTTTGTAAACTCTCATCTCAGATGGACTCAGCCTTCACCACTTTTCCTGTGAGAAATGGAAGGTCTCGTCCTGATTTGCACTTCTTGTTTGCACCCTATTTGTGAGGTTCTTTCACTTTTTTGAGACACTGGCTTTCTTCAAACCACACATTTCTTTGGGCTGCACTCACATGTATCTCTTCCAGTGACCATTGAAGGACTAGTGGAACCTTTCTCAGAGTTCTTGATGGCATGATTAGTCAATACCGTGGAGATACCTCTTTGCCTCCTCTCCCAGACAGGATTTCTGTCTTCGGGATGTGCATGTCTCTGACCACAATATGACTTTAGGCATTCACTCCACATCAATATCCTTCTTGCAATTCATCACTCATGTTCCTATTTCCTACTTCTTTTTGTTGATCAGTTGGTCATGATCCACATCAACAATTCCTCAGTTCTTTCTAACATCAACCACTAGTGGAGCACCAGTTCCAAGAGTCTTTGCTTTTATACATTGGACTTGCTGTTTTAGGCCCATTCCCATTGAGTATTTTCATAGGTTGTCATGTTCTGGGAGCTCTGAACCTGGTGGTAGATTGCCTCTCTAGGCTGGACCAGATTCTGCCCATGAAATGATCTCTCCACCCTTAGGTTTTTCATTGGGTTTGCTCTCAGTTGAGCATGCCCTTCATGGATGCCTTTGCCACTCCTCTTAATGCCAAGCTTCCATTCTTCTGGACCTCAGTTTCTCATCCTTTGCCTCTGGCAGTCAATGCTCTCATCCAGGACTGGTCCCACCTTTTTCTGGATACCTATCCCTCTCTTTGTCTCCTCCCTCGTGTCCTAGCCTTGATACATGATACTCTTTGTTGGATCCTGTTGGTGGTGCCTCTTTGGCCTGCACATCCCTGGCTTATCCTCCTTCATCAGCTGGCATCCAGCCCCATTCTTCTTCTGCCCAATTCCTCTTCTCTATTACTCCAACCTCCCACATCTCTTTTTTTTTTCATCCAGGGGCTGTTGTCCCTTCATCTTCATATGTGGGATTTGTCCAGTCCATCATCCTCAGAGCAGGACTCTATGATCATGTAGCCTTCTTATCACTTTTTAGTTATCCTTCAACTTTCTCTGTTTATTTATGCAAGTGGCGAATTTTTCAACATTGGTCCATCTGCCACTCCCATTTTCCAGGCTATCTTTCCATGGCCCTTCTTTTGGCCTTTTTTACTTAGCTGTTCAACCATGTTTTGTTGATCTCCACTGTTGTTGTTTATTGAGTGGTTTTGTCAATCATGTTTTGCCTTTCCTCCTACCTGTCCTCTCTACTTTGCTCTGGTCCTTCTTTCTTCACCAACTCCCTTGTCTGACTCATGCTTGATTGGTAACTTAATGTGGTTTGATATGCTCTTACATGTGCCCCATTCATACTGTTGGCTTTTTTCTTTGTGTATTATTTTTCTCTGAAGGCATACTTTCTTCTTCTCACCTGTGGTTACCAATTTTCAGATACATATGCCATTGATGATTCCTGCACTGTCTTCTGCTGTATTTATTTACTTGTCTACATGGACCTGGATTTTTTTTTCCCCAAGACTTCAGCTGCTTGGGAAAGTGATTGTTCTTTTTCTCCTATCTATGTCCCTCCATCCTTTCTATTTTTCACCTCTACTCGTTCAGACCTAGATTGTATTCTGTATCCAGTTTGGGCTGTTCGGTGTTATTTCGCACATGCATTTTTTTTCAGGGCTCCCACCATTGTCTTTTTTTAGATTCTTCCTTATCCAGGGACGTCTCACCTACTACCCTTACTGGATAGGTCAACCAATGCCTCCAATTGGAGTATTCTTCCCTGGATGTTGAGGCTTGCAGGCTTTTCCATATTTTGTCACATCAAATTTGTCACCTGTCTCACTCTTGGATGTCATTTTTGCTGACCAATGGACTAGATCCTTCAGAATGGTATGTGGATAACTCACCACATGTTTGTCTCACGTTATCTTCATCATCTGGTTGTTTTGTCTGCCGCAGGATTTTGACTCTCTCCACTTGCTGTTCAAAAGTCTACATACCTTCTTTGAGAAGGTTAAATATGTTTTTTTATTACTCCTTTCCCTTTTATAGGATCCTGCCAGGTAGCTGGTGTTGCCTCTCAAGGTATGCTTATTTCCTAAAATCTGCATTGGGCCAGGAGTGATAGATAGAACTTAAACCATCCACCCTGGCCTTACCAGTGCCCACTGTTGAGATGGGATGTTCTGCTACACTACTAGACGTATCCTCATGATATTAAAATCATTGCCCAATCTAGACAGTATCATTCCATGGACTATCATAGAAAAAGCACCAGAGACGTGTCTGCCCACTTCTTTTTCTTGCTCTCATTTAAAAATAGGGTTTTGCAGTCACCTTTTGCACTGTCTCTGGTAAAAGACCTTTCCAACAAGTGTCTGATGAGATCTGAGCAGTTCTTCAGATCTCCCCACCATAATATCTCTCCCCTCCTCCTCCTAGTTTAGTATAGGAGAACCTTGTCACTCACCTGTTTCTAGCTGCTGGGGTGGTGGACCTTGGATAGTTCCTCACTGATTGTGCACAGCACTGGTGGGAGTTAGCTCAGTGGTAACACTGTTTGTGTAGTGCCTGTAACCTTTGAAGCAACTCTCCTCTTGCAGCGAGAGTAAGTCCATTTCAGTCGAGGTGTGATGCACTCCATAAGGTTTGATCACACCCTAACCTCACAACATTTCTTGGCTCACCAACCATTTGTGTGTGGGTGCTTGGCTGGTCATGATCAATTTCTGCTCATCCTTGTGACACTTGGGGCTGTTTTTCGTTTCCATCTGTTTCCTTCTGAATGATGAGTATACCCTGGTCAAGATGAGATGTGGTCTTTCCCTAAGTAGACCCTGCCATTGGGGTTACACTCCATTGGCTTCTTTTTGAGTGCTTTCTAAAAGAAGCTCTTCTAGGTTTAATGTTTGCACTAGCCCCTCTACCATTTCAGTGTATGGTTCTAGCTATTTTGTGTGTGGAAGTATAGTATTATTTCGAAACTTAATAATTTACTTACTTGAAAATGTATTTCCACGAGATACTCACCACCATACACTTTTCCACCCATCCTCCCCACTTCTGGTGCACGTTTTTTTCTTTTGCCTCATCTAAGAATGAAGTTAATAATGGCTGGAGACGGCTTGAAGTTATTTTAAGTGGAATTGCTTAAGGGATTTTACTGCCCTGTTGGTGGAGGGCTATTGTCGCAAGATGATGTCATCATGTTCTAGCGCAGTTCATGTTAAACATGTAATTTTCAGGTGGGAGTTAGCTAAAGCTAGTTACATGTAAATCTCATAAGCAGACATGTGAGTCAAGCTATTCTGTGTGTGGAGGTAACTATTTACTAGAAATACATTTTCAGATAAGGAAAATGTTAACGGTTGATTGTAAATTTGATTACATTTCTGGACTATTAAGTTTGCCACAATGAAAGTGAATATCTGATAAAAGTACTAGAGTGTAGTACCACATTTGCTTGCTATCATAAAGTATAGTGTATTTTTACTCCTTCTGCTCCATTTTTATATTCTTTTACCATTTAATTTCTCTTGGATATTATTTAAATTTTTTGTATTAGAGTAAGTAAACCTTTTATCTGTATACACAGTCAAAATTTGTTGAATATTAACCTTTCTGTTTGGGACTGTGGAAAGTTTTACTTGTTAATAACTTACTTATTAATAGAAAATATTTCATATGTAAACAAAACTATACATGTAGTTTGAGCTTAATTCTGATCATCTTTTGAAAAAGCTGAATAATAAAAAGAGGGAAAAGCTCTACACTTGTAATATATTTCCAGGTACACATAGTAAAGATAATTTTGTTTCAGACAGCTGGTTGTGTTATTTCTCTGTATCTGATATCACCAAAGATGACAGCCATTATGCTGGTGGCTGTACCTGCTATTATACTAACAGGGACCACACTTGGAGCTATTCTAAGAAAGGTTTCAAAACTAGCTCAAGAACAGGTATGTTGCTTGTACTTTAACTCTCTCACATCTGGATGGGTACAATCTATCTGGAGGGCAAAATTGCACCCCTGATTTAAAAAACATTATAGAAAATACATCATTCTTCCACACATTAGAAAAACAAAATACTTCAGAATTGAAATTAAATTTATCCTGTAAGAAAAGTTTATTTATTTAATTGCATGCATGAAAGTAAAAAAAATCACAAGTTCTGATTTTGGGGGGATTTTATTGAACTCTCAATAAAATCATTAGTTTCTGTGAACTTCATATCACCAAACTAAGCTTTTATCACTTTTGATGATGAGGAACCCACTTTGAGACTAATAATGCTTGGAGACAGCTTGAATGTGTAATGAAGAAAACTTTAATATAAGTTTAACATAACAGCAAATGTACAATGTTTTGACAAGGTTTTTGGCATCATCAATTTTATCACTTTATTTCAATCTCTTTGTGAATCCCACTGAAATAAAAGCCTTTGTGGGTTTTACAGGTGAAAAGAATGGGGAAAATAGTTTTCATGACATGTTTACATCATCATGAAAACTACAATTTCTTGAAGCTGCTCTACACCATGACAACTGAGGTTGAGAAACATTGATTGTCTAAAAATCAATAAAACTACATGTTTCTTTAAATTAAAAGGACAAATTAATACTGTTCGATTAAAAACTATTAACTTTCCTCCTAGGGGAATATAGGTGCTATATTATGCTCAGAAAAGCTGCTTATGAACAATGTTTGCTACAGTGACAGTCCTGAATCTTTTTTTTATAGCTTGCAAAAAGAATACTTTATCATTTTGTACTTCATTTGAATTATGATGTTAAAGGACAATAGGAAAATAGATTGTTTTTTTTTTCTTTTATGAAACAAGATGAGTTAGGGTTTGTTAAAAAAATTTTAGATTTGACTGTATCTAGTTTTATTTAGCCGACAAGACTGTTGTGTTAAGCTTTATTTGTATTAGTCCATTTTGGCCTAAGTCACTTTTTTGAATGGACAGAGAAATTCACCCAAGGTACATTAATGTAAATCAATATCAAACAAGTTTAAAACTTGTTACCCATATTAAATTAAACCTTCTGATTAACAATTTACAAAAGTGAGTTTGCTTAAAATTTCGATATGGTAGAAAAATTATTTTTATTCAACACCAGTGATCATAATCAAAGTGAAACTGCATGTAATTTGTTTTGCAAGTAAAAAAAAAGATCAAATTCACAGTTTTATTTAGCAAAAAAACATCAGTATAGGAAAGTTTTAAAAAAATTTAGGAAGTCCCAAAAATTAGTAATTAAAATCTGCAACAAAAGTAAACATTTTAAATTTATTGTTTCTTAAAAAACACATATCTCAAAGCTACGAATTCATACAAATGTCACATATAAAAAATAGTTTATTTGCAGAAGCTACATACTTGTAGAAAGTAATTATAAAGTCTCAAGCTCTTTCATTCACTGATATTTTTTTTGCAATACTATAAAACAAACCACGATGCATCCAGGTCTTAGAGAGTTAAAAAGACATTCTCCACTGAAATTTATTATTACTATGCATATTTAATATTTTAATATAATAGTAGTAAATATTGTTGAAAATCAACTAGATTAATAGGCTAAATATTCTGAAAGCTTTACTTTCATAAGGTATTTTTCTTCACAAAAATGCAATATAAAGCACTTTTCACTGTCAGTTTTAATTCTATGTAGGTAAAGCTTTTTTACAGGATTTGATAGATCTGGTTTTTGCTAATCCTATTGCCATTGCAGTAATTGATGAAAATGGAAAATTGCACAGAAATTGAATATTTTACCCTCCCAGACATCACTGAGTAAACAAAATATTGTAAAAATATCGCTTAAAGTTACAAGATTATTTAAATTATCTTATTGAATGCAAATATTCTAGTTTTGTCTCACTCTTTACATTCTCATATGTACTTTTTAGTTGGACTTGGGAATAGATTTTTATGTATAAGTTCTTTTATCTTTTTATCACATAAAAAAAAGAAACATATTCCTCTAGATGTTATATTTTATTTTGAATTATGATATACACCTGGAAAAAAGTTAAGCACCCCTGTGTTTTTTTCAAGTGATTCAGATTCGACG